ATTTAGGCAAGCCTAAAGCGGAGCTAGCAATTTTTTTTTTCTCTCACGTCTCAAGGGCACAGCGCCTTTCCCCGGCCAGGGTTAGAACCCGGGTTGTCTGACTGGGAGCCCAGTGCACTGACCACTGGACCATTGAACAAAGCCGTGGCGTTGGCGTGCCCGCGGTACAGTTGACCACGCATGTTAAAAGTAGCATCTTGTACGGTCGAACTGTCATACATCCAAATTTTTTCGGCTTGATGGGTTACTACTATTTTGTATAATTATGGGGCTACGCTCTACGACCTGAGTCAAGAGCGAGACAACGAAAGCACGCTAAGTCGCTATGAAACGCTAGGCCCAACGCCTTACAAGTTGAATAGATTGTTAGCTTCTATAGCAGCCGTTTTCGTCTAGTTTTTCGCTAAAAGTAGTCCTTGAAATTTACTGCGATTGAGGTGACGTGTATAAGGAGTTAAGATAAAAACAACACGTATTTAGATTTTAACGAACAAGGCCACTACTTTTCAGTTTACTCTGAACGTAAAACAGAGATTTAAGAGAAATAACTCTCCGGTTTCAGTTCCTGATATCCGTGGAAAGAATGGAAGCGAGCCCAGAAAGGTCATCAAGGTTAACAGCGGGAAGAATAAAAGACTCCCGTGCTGGATCAAGATCATTGATCCGAACCAAACGTTAAAGTATTACTGGCTCAAGGACAATCAGACTCTCAGAGGAGGTAATCAACGTACAGTCATCAATAGATACTTAAGGATACGAAAGGCGAAGAAAGAGGACGCCGGCTTTTACACCTGTGTTGTGGTGAACGACTGCGGCAAAAGTAATCTAACAATACAGCTCATTGTTAAAGGTATTTAAACTTCATAAGTTATGTTCTATGAGATGTCAGAGATTCAGTCGATAGATGCATCAAAGTCACTTGTTTTATTATGGCCACCTCTTTATTAAGATTAATGCGTTTTCTTTCTCAGAGTGATTTCTATGTGATTTTAGAGGAGACAAAGCCTCAAGACTTTGTGTCGTCATACATACTAATGCTAATGAGCGAGCCGGTGAAGTACACATTCACCATGCTTGTGATATTCGTTTTCTTGTAAATCAGTTTTTCCACGAGAAATTCAGCTGATATTCTCTTTTTTTTTCAATACATTTCTGCATGAAAATCCTGTTAGTTTTTCGTTACAATTTTCTTGAAGCAAAAACATGGCAACTTTTTTCTTCTCGGAAAGTAGTTTGGGGAATTCTCTTCACTTTTACCGTGCAGCGAAAAATAAAGGCTTAAAGCGGCGCAACTACTTAGATAATCGATTTACACCACATCACGAGTTCGAGCCCAAGTCAAGTTTGCCAGAGTCACAGGTCAATCTCGAGTCCCTAAAAATTTCTCCTTTGTTTTTGCTTTTAAGTTTTTTTTTATTATTTTCGTTTCGACATCTGTGTCAATTTGATCATGGTATCAGGAATACAAGAACATTTACTTTTAAGCTTAAACGTTTTTCACGGCCGTTTGCAAGGGTTTATTCTGCACTGATTCACAGCTGCGTTCAAAAGAAGTTAACATTCCAAAAATGTGGGGGGCAGATATCATTCCTCTGTAAAACATTTGTTTTATCAGAATGATCATGCCACTTTCACTTGTTCAAAATTTTCGAAGCATCACAAAGTTGTCGAGCCATGTTACATAATGTGTGGAATACGCTGTGTCTAGTTGGAAGCCCGAGTTCAATTTTTTTGTAGTTTGAGCATCAGTTGTGGCTATCACCGGGGTTTTAATATTTCTTGACTTTGAAACGTGTTGTAAACTTCGCGACAAATCTGTAACAGTATAAGCGGTGCAAGAATGCTTAGCAACAATTCAGAATGCAAGAATTCTTTTTCGTGGTAAGATTGAAACAGAAGAAATAAGGTGTCTCGACTGAAGTAAAAGGTAAACGACATAATTTAAAGATCGAGTTTGTTCTACTTTTTTGGGCGGCTTCCATCATAGTGTATTGTCTTACGATATTATTTTACAAAGAGGGCAAAAATTTATGTAGACTCGAACTTGACTCGGGCGCGAAGTTGACTTGTGAAACGATTTAACTCTAGTTTACCGCGCAAGTTGTCTAAGTTATTTTATTATTCGAGAAAGTGCTATTATCAATTTCGTTTCAGAAACAACCTGTGACTCTATTGACCTTACTCTATGATTGGTCGAGAGAACTCGTGCCAACATCGCAACCCACACGGAGGCAAAAGTGAGACCTGTAAAATTATGATTAATCTTAGACCTTCCTGCGATCGCAACATCTCAGGATTTAATGGATTGTATGGAACTCCAAGGTAGTGGCTGCCATCGGCCCAATGTTTTTTTTTTTACAAGTTTCTTGATTCATTGTATGCACGTGCGAGTCGTGACGTAGCCTCTCTAACTGACTAAACTCTATGCTCAGGCAAACGGCACAAAGTTTAATTGAAAGTTAAAAAAAAGTGTTCAAGATTACCGTGAGATGTCGAAATTTCGTGGAGGTAGTCATTCCAGTAAATAATTTCAGCTTAAATGATAGCTATAGATCTACTTCTATGGGATATGTTTACTTAGCCTTACATGCAGCCTTAGTATATCCCATCGAAGAAGATTTTCGAAATAAAACTAGCAACGTCCCTTATGTTAAAAAGTAACTAAACATTAGAAAAAAATGTCTTCAAATATGCAAAACATTTTACTGTGGATGCTGTCATTATGAGTAACTACAATGAGTGATTTAAAAATGGCTGCTGCCTTAGTTATCACCGAAAACATTATTTCCTTATGAGAGGAATCTTTTGTTTAACTCCTGATTGTTTAAACAGATCACAGTGGGAGTGAAAAAAGATGGTGAGTCTAGGTTACTATCAAAACGCAATTTTGTTGTCCATAATGGAATGTTTGGCACATTTGTGGACAATTTCTCAATGGTTAAGTTACTTCTGGGAGTGTCAAAACCAGGGCAAAGTCATAAAATCTTAAATTCTAATTTTAATAGTTGAGGGATTAAGCACGTCATCATATTTTCATGTCATTTACAAGTATATTATTTACTCAGCTTTGGAAATTCATGTACTCTGACATCCATATTGCCTTGTAGTTCTGATGATATGGAAGATACCTGATTCTTGGTGTTGGATTAGTTGTTAAAATACATTCTATCTATATTTTTCTTTCTTTTAGATGCCAAGACCTGTAGTGAAGGCCAGTTCGCTTGTCACAATCAACGTTGCGTTCCATTACGTTCGAAATGTAATGGTTCTTCTGAGTGCACTGACGGGTCGGATGAAATTGGATGTCGGCATAGGGAAGCCCCGGATTGTCCAGAGAAAATGTCTCGCTGCGATGGAAGATGCATCCAAGGTCATTTGAAATGTGATGGAACAAGTGACTGTCGTAATGGATCCGATAATAGAGGATGTCGTGAGTACACAAATAGTTTATTAATGAATGAGTTGTGAAATGAATTTTTTCTGTTTCCTCTTACCGTAATGATTCGATTTAGCACCCTCGTTCAAGGGTGCCCCCAAGAATTTGGTTTTGTCAATAATTGCCCGTATTCAAAGACTTTATATTGTCCTTCATTTATGATTTAAGTAATTTTTCGATGAGACAATCGAATCCTAAGCGATAAATAATAAACACCCGCTGTTTATCAAACTGTCGTAGGCTTGACATGAAGCGGAATGTATTTTGTTTAGGTTGTAGCAAGAGATGAAAGTGTTATGGCTTTTGAAAAAATCTAAAGTAGATGAATTTAAAAATACAACGCATAGCCAGCTTGAAATACGCGCGCTTTAAGATATTAGAAACAATAGATGAAACAATAAGTTTCGAGGCCTCTGTTTCTTAGCTCCGCCTTGACAAGTTAATGAGCCAAGGCAGTATTCCCTTCGGAGGAAAGTGCGCGTGATCTCCGACCAATGAGAGCCTCCCTGTTTACGCTTCGGCGCTTATATTATAGATCTATAACATTTTCGCCACTGCAAGTAAATGTCGCGAGAACAATGGGCATTCTGCCCAATGCCTTATTCCAATAGGTGTCCCTATTCCTGTAAGCGCCTTTATTCTGTTTCAGTGATAGTACTGTTAGAGTATGCACTTTGAAATCAACCGTGGTCCTTTTTCCTGTAATTGCTCAATTAGGTCTTATTACAAGAACCGTGGTCTACGTCTCAGTCTCTCCACTATTATGTCCAAGCGAGTGCACAGTTCCTTCAAACGAATGATTTCGTCTTAAAATTATGCGACGATTGCTGTGCTGCTCGTTCTAGCTAGGAAGGATCCATGGATAACATGTCCGTTTTCCATTCTTTTTCAATGAACATCAGTGCTTTGTTTCGCTGCTCCTTAAAAGCGCTCTGTTTCGAATAAGCACCCTCCCTTAAGGTACCATCAGTAATTAAGCTCCATGGGCGCCAAATCGAATTATTGCGAAAATACCACAGAACAAAAAAGAAAACAGTGAATTTGAAGAAAAACTCTTTGTAGGATTTTTTTCGAGACCGTCCTCAAAAACTGTTTTAACGGGATTTTTCCATAACATTAGCATATTAATGACGATGCCATACCACACCTACTATTTCAAACTTCCAAACTTAGGTCACTCATGTGTGAAAGTCGTTCGACTGCAAAAGGGAGAGGTGATTTTTGAGTGCTCTTAATGGTCTCAGTAGAGCCTATCAGAGCGGTGGAAAACCGTATTTGGCCATCTTTTCTTGAGATAGCTAGCTGTTTTAAAACAATTGTGTCAAATTCAATGTCATAGAAAACTATTTAAGAGGCTGTCTCTCTTACTTCCGCCTGGTCAATTTTGCGTCAAAAATAATTTTGCTTGAAACTCTGTCAACAGAAGGACTTTACCTAGGA